TTATCCCCATATTTAATCATTATAGTACATAATAGTATTATAATAGACTAAAGTAAGGCCTATCTAAAGTTTCTTTCACATAATTTTTGGTTTTATTAATTTTTTTAAATTAATTAAAATTGTTGATAATTCTCAAGTGATTACAGGTACTCTACTCTCTATTGAAATACCTGCTCAACACGACTATAACACGTCAAGGATGGTCTTTATCATTCAACGTATATTATAAAATAAGGTATTTATTTTAGATCCAACAAATGTATATATATTTTTATTTAAGTCGTTACCCCCCAGTGCTTTGAATGTTAAATATCTTGGCAAAACTCTTGATCAAAGACTGACCTGGGCTCAACATATTAAATCCAAAAAAATTAATCTAAACCAACGCCTACGCCTTCTAAAAAATCTCATCAACAATAATAAATATACTCACATCAATACCAAATTACTTATTTATAAATCACTACTAAAGCCTACTTGGACATATGGCCTACAGCTTTGGGGAAACGCAAAAAAAACCAACATCAACAAAATTCAAACATTTCAAAACATTTCAAAACATTGCACTTCGCAAAATATATTAAATGCCCCTCCCTATGTCTCTAACTACACTATACATACAGACCTAAAAATCCCTTCAGTTTCAGAAGAAGCTAGGACATAATATAAACGTTTCCATCTCCGTGCTTTAACTCATCAGAATCCTCTTGTCAGAAATCTTGCTAATCCTAGCACATCTCCGTGCTCCTGGTGATCCTCCGAGACGGTTAAAACGGAAATGGTGTCGTGATCTATTGGCACCTAATTTTAGTTTTAATATTAATTAATATTAAAAAGTTAAAATGCTAAAAAATAAAAAATAAAAAATAAAAAATGGCAAATGAAAGGTGTTACTAATGGGTGGCTGCTTTCCTCAAAATTGTCACATATATATAAATGTTATTAAGGATACGATGTGTTTGTTTTTTTTTTAATAATTTATATACAAAATCTGTTTTTCACATTTACTTAAAGTGCCAAGTAGTATAAATTGTAGATTCCTTTTAAGAAAAAAAAAAGTCGTTACCCATAAATATAAAAGTAACTACATTAAATGTTTAGGTAAATACTCTTTATGCAATAATATTACAAAAGACAATTAGACAAACAGTATTCTATGTGTCCGCAAAAATAAGGTGAAATATCTAAATCTATAACCATAAAACAATATGAAAAACATGGTAAAGTAACTAGGCATGTCAATAACTATCCGATAAGCATAAAATAGCAGTCAGCTTCCATCTGTTATAAATTCTAGTCACGATTCAAGATAGAAAATAAGTGTACATATATAATGGTATAATATTCATAGACCTATAAAACGAATCTTTATATGTCTGTCATAATATTATATCTGCGGATGAGGGTTACGATCAAAGATGTATATCTTAAATAGGTATATCTTTAATCGTGGTAAAAGTGAACCAATTCAAAATTCCCGCGCATATATACTTGATTATTATTGGCTCCCTTCACGCTGCCATTTTTGATTTTATCATCCTATGATTAACAATTGTTCAACTCTCATAATATTATATTTTGTGCATGCTCCACAACAACTTCACTTCTTCTTTGAACTCTGGTTTCGTGGACACATGGTATTACAATATTAGACAGACGACAGTAGTTATATTATATTGTTTGTAAATTGTAAATTTTAAGTGACATACTCTATTATATTATTAAAAACCTAAATTATAATTTATTTCAAAATAATTGTATACATAATTATACATCTATTGTTTGAGATGACTAGATGAGTAATGGTGCGCCCATGCGTATTATTTGATTGTGATAGTCGCATAAAAAAATGTAAAAACTATATTCTAACGAAATTGGTAAAGGGTAAACAATATAACATATTGTCGTAATATATTATAATATAACAAGAGGTGAATGTATAATATAGACAATATAGACTTATTAACAATGAGATCGATTTAAATATACTTTCATTTTTTTTAATATTTTGTTTAAAAGTAAAACTAAAAGAAACGACAGTAAAAATGGAAAAACCATAATATATTTTTTTTAATGTGTTTTTGTATTAATGACAAAAATATATTTTCAATAAAATTAAAACTTTTTTAAATGAATACTTGGATTGTCTTATTTACATAATAATGAATAGGTACATAATATATATTATATGTGTCACCTAATCACAGTAATATCAAGTTATAAAAGCATTTGATTTTAATCAGTGTTTAAAAGATAAAAAGAAGACTCATAACCTATTATTATATTTTATTATGATACTGCAATTATATTCTTAAATCTTAATTGTAAATACTTTATAACGTAGTGTCGTAGTAGTATAATATTTTATTCTAATGTTATAGTGAAGTTGCACTGTAGTCAAACACTGTAATATTTTCAAATCACTGACTTCTAATACTATTTTTGTCATTATTATCTATTTTCCAAATGTACAAATATGTTATTCCATTAACACTAAAAAAAAAGCAAAAAGGTAAACATTTAGTTAGTTTAAAATAATGTTTAAAAGATAATTGTTGGCACTCAGTACCTACCTAGACACTATCTATAGGCTATAGTCTATAATATAATATTAAAATTAATATTAAAACTTTTATAATATATTTAATATTTATATAATAAATACATACCTATGCTTTTTAAGTATCATGGTCATGACCTGTGGTGAAACGTCTTGGGGGACAATGAGACAACGTCTAGCCACTTCGCGAGTATGACAAATAATTTAATCATATTAATAAAATATTTTTTTTTAACAAATTATAAATGTAATTATACAAATATATATAAACTTGTCAAAAACTCAATTTGTCTATATAGTTTTCTCAAAATAGATATTAGTCATAATAATATACACGTGTTGTTTTTCGCTAAACATTGATATTTTCCTAATTGTTATTTGCTTTATAAGAAATTTTAAATTATAATATAAACAGTTTTCTGAATCAATGTATCACTAAGCTACATAAGGAGGACGTTGCTGTCGTACCCGCATAAATTATTTCCATCTTACACAGTACGAGTGTGTGACATGGCAAATTTTCGTTCAACAGTTTCAATAGTGTGCACAGCATGCTGTTAGTTCTCTTGAACGGTTTTGTACGATAATTTAATTTTAAAGTGAGTGATGAGAGTGTTCAATATTAATACTTGAGAAATCTCATAATTCACTTAAAAATTAAAATATCGTTAACAACTGGTCGAGAACAGCACACAGCACACTATTGAAAGTGAAACTGGTGGAAGACAATATCAAATTTGCCATGTCGTACGTGTGCACGATTTAAGATAGTACCACGGACTAAGATATAATATTATCTATTATATCTTAGTCCGTGGATAGTACTAATATTATTATCAGCGTTGCCAGAATTTGATAATGATTAAACCGTACAGTGTAACCAGTATTACCGTATTTCTTATAAATTTACCGTACATAAAAATTGTATTGATTACTCGGACCTCGCTTCGCTCGATCCTCGCAAGTCGCAACTCGCAAGTCGCTGATAATTATTATTGATTATAAAAATCAACAACTGAAAAGCTTTTTATATTTTTTTATTACTATTTACTCTAATTAGTAATTATGCGAATTATATTCCTGAACTCTTTAAACGTTTTAAATGTTGGAAATGTTTTTAATTTAAATAAATATTAAAAACAACAATTCAAAGAATCAAAGATAATTTTAATATTTGATGCTAACACACTATATTATATACAATTAAACAAACGTTAATCGACTTGGTACATAAAACAAAATGTAAATAATATCTTTAAATAGTTAATAAATTCAACAAAGCGTATAATATAAAATAAACAGTTAACCGACTAGGTACATAAAATAAAATGTAAATAATATCTTTAAATAGTTAATAAATTCAACAAAATGTATAATATAAAATAAACATTCACCTGATTAGGTGTAAAACAAAATGCAAAAATGTTTAAATAGTTTATAAACACAACAAAATATATAAAATTAAACAAACAACTGACTAGGTATATGAATAATTATGATACAAATTAGTCTTCAATAACAAAATCTTGGCAACTAGTATTTTGAGTCATATCTGCTGCAATTGGGTATAGATTGGATGATGTCATTCTTGCAAGCATATCTTTTATAGGTTTGAAACTAATGCAATTTCCATTATCTTTCTTTATAGATTCGCTTGAAATTACTGTTGATGATACCGTGCTAGTTATTAATTTGTTTCTGGATTTTGTTTTTACTGAATTTATTTTGCTAAATATCCTTTCACATGATGCATTTGAATGTGGAAGGCATAGGACCGATATGGAAAATACTGCAAGATCTTTAAATTGCTCACATTCCAAGTCTTTTATGTAAGTCCAAAATCTATCAGGTTCTATTTCATTTATTATATTTTCACTTAATTTATATAATGGTAAATTACGCCATTGATCATCAATTTTTTGTATAATAATATTATCTTCTATATTTAACATCCTAGGAAGATGTTGCACAAGATTATATATTGAAGGATATATGTCTCTCTTACTAATTGATAAAGCAACTGACGGATTTAAAACATTTAATAATGGTAAAATAGGATTTGAAAAGTCATACCTTTTTTTAATTTGTACGCAACTTATTTTTAAAAAGTCAATACATCTGTTATAAAATTCATTCAGTAAATCTGGTCTTTTTGTAATTGAATCTGTTTTAACATGATTTAAAACTTTTACACCTAGATATACAATTGATGCTTTTAAAAATTGATTTTCATCACTGGGATTTATTTTTCTTAAATCAGTTTTCATAATATAATCTCTTTTCATATAGCAGAGTAATATTTCTTTAAAAACAAGTTCCATTTTTTCATTTAATGTTGTCAATACAACATTTTCTGTTTGGAAAAATTGATTCAAAGAAGTGAATTTTGGAAGAACCCACTCTAAAAAGTAAAAATAAGCTTTAGTAAAAGGATCGTTTAATTGTAAATAAATATTTTCTGCAGAAATTAATTTTTCAGAGAGCCATTTATCAGTGAAATATAATTTTAATGCATCCCACTGTTCAACAATTCTTTGCACAACAGATGAAAGTGATAGCCATCTTGTTTGGGACGGATGCAGTATTTTGTGAACATTTAAGTTTAAAAATTGTTGAAATTGCACAAACTGACTTTGGCGCTTAGAGCTATGGCTAAAAAAGTTGTAAATATTACGGGCCAAGTCTTCACACCTTCTAGGTAGGCTCTTACATGCTTCGCTGCAGCATAGATGAATTGAATGACAGATGCACTTTATAATAAAAATTCCAGGAAAATATGACTGCATTCTACTTGACATAGAGTTTTGACTACCCATCATGGTAGAACAGCCATCCGATCCAAAACCAACCAGGTTATCTAGATTTATATTATATTTTTTGAACGATTCAATGCAAATGTTAAAAAGATTTTCAGCAGTCGCACCTTAGTCTACAGTATCCAAATTCTTTATATCAAATACTTGTAATAATTCCCAGAAACGTGAGACAACTATTTTACTTTCATGATCATAAAATCGTACTACAACACACATAGTTGATTGGCAAGCTATATCCGTAGACTCATCTACCATTATTGAAAATTTAGAAATATTTAATTTATCACATAATATTTGTTTTTCTGCAGGGGCTATTACATTTTTTATAATATTAGTCGCTTTTGTACGTTTTAGTTTCATTTTTTGACATATGGCCGAGTCTGGAAATATTTCCTTTAATAATGGAATTAAGTGGTCGACAAGTAAAAAAGCACAATTATGCTCAGCTAATAAACCACATAGTTTTATTTCTGCAGTTTTTACTTTATCAGCAATTGGATCCTGCGCATTTGATATAAATGTAGAAACAATATTTTGAGAACCTTTTGTGGCTTTTACCGCGTTTTCGTGACCTTTACTTGTAGCATGTTTCTTTATAGAACTTAATTCTGATATAAAACTTACTTGACATTTGATGCATTTGGCTTTGAATGAATTATTTTTCTCAGGTTTAAGCCAACCTTTGAACAACTTATCACTCTCCCACTCACAACGGTATTTTTGCTTTCTATGCTTGGGTTTCTCATCGTTACTGAGTTCATTTCTCATTGCCCTCTTTTTTTTTGGAGTGGAAGGGCCCTAAACATATTTTATTTATTCAATGTATTTCAACTAATCGATTCGACTTTCATTAAAAATTAACAAACCTGTGGAGTATCCTCGACGTCAGACATAGCTTCTATAATTTCAAACTTAGTGCTTTTTACTTCAATAACTAATAAGACAGCTACAGTAGGCAAATTGAGTCGATGATTCATCGACGATGAAAATGAAATAACGATTGACCGCGAAACTGTTATCAGCTGCAAGACAGCGTCAAAATGTCGAATAATCGAAAAACCCATGACAATAATTGACCAATGACAAAGTTTAATATTAACTGGAAAGACGGTCTAATTCAATGGATAGTGGGAATTACCGACCAACAGTTAATTTTAATTTTAAGAATTATTATTATTTACTATTATTTATTTTATCAAAATAAATTCACAATATCAGTTTATCATAATATAATATTCTTATCATAAAAAAAATCCAGTTTGCAACACTAGCAAGCAGCTGTAAATACCGTACATTTTTGTACGGTTTTCAATGTATTACCGTACACCGTACATCGACCAAATTTACCGTATGAGTACGGTCCAAACCGTACGTCTGGCAACGCTGATTATTATCTTAAATCGTGTACGTGTGTAAGACGGAGACAACGCATGCGGGTCCGACCGCGGCATCCTGATTAATCAGTGAACTAAGTTAATGACAGAATAAACATAACAACACAAATCACAAATCATAATAGCTTGCGTCTTGCGATAACTTCTAAAGACTATCATACAATATAATAGTATGACTGTCGTTATTGTTTTGATATTGTAATTCAATTCTAATAATTGTTTGGAGTAGGTAACACACAACCTCCCGTGTTTGGCATCCATTTCCGGATCGATATAGACGAGCTGATTATACTTTTGGATTCTATCCAAAAGAAGTGATCGCAAACATGTATAATAATTTAATAGTACAACATAGAACTTCATTTGTATTTTGTATATAATATTATATTATATACACATGATAATCTAATAACTACGTTATAATTTTATTCGAACAAAAAGGTGCCAATTTAATTTGTAATAACTGATAACCGTCTTCCAATAATGTGCACCAAGAAACAAGCTCACCTTGCACGTAATCAGCTAATCGAGGTCAGGGAATTAATTGATTAATTTAGAGAGAAGGTCCACAAATCAACTTTAAGACTATAAACAAATTGTGTATTAATTGTAGAATCGTAAATTACTTTATAAGATACAAAATATGAAGTGTTCTATAATACAGGTTGCGAATCGCGATGATGTACAATAGTAATGGTTGGCGAATTTTTGGGAGACCTACTCCTTAGCTAAATATACGACCTTACAGCGATTGTTTCGAATAATTTTTTTACGAATAAATTATGCTGACGCTTTTAAATTTAATATATACATTAACAAAATTAAACTAATAAAAAAACTAAACCAAGGATACCCAGGAATACAAATTTAAAATCCTATATCCTTTATTAAACCACAGCTCAACCCCGTAGATGAAATATTCTCTAATGCTATGAATACGGCAATAATAAGACCGCTACTAATTTATGTACATTAAGTACCAACGTGAGCTCCCGCTACTAGAAAAAAAATTTCAAACTATAAAATTTACCGAAATAATTTCAATTGTAGACACAACAAAGCACTAAAAGTCCCTTGGTATTCATGCTACAGAAATAGGGAAGTATTATAGGTACATAATTTTACTGGATTACCTACTTATCAATCATGGATAATATCAATTCAAAAACTTCCACAATAAACTATAAGTAAACCAAAAAAGCTGTCTATTTAAAAATCAGCGAAAAATATATCTAAACCTAGGCTAAAACTGCGTCCATCACTGGCATCACATCACAAGACATCTTAAAGACTACCAACACCAACCATATAGCTTTTAATCAAATTTATTTTTTTTTACTATCCAATATACGAGTATAATTTTTTTAACTAGAATGGCCGTGGTCTATTAATCCACGTATGTAAATATGTGTGAAATTGTAATATTTTAAAAACATTAAGTTGTCGATACAATTAATTATGTAAGAAATTTAAAATAAAAAAATATAGTTGTCTACAAGGCATTGATAAACCGTCCAAAAATATACGGATCGAATAACTGTTGGAATACCCATCCTATTCTAATGCATTTAAATTAATTATATATATTATATAATTTAAATTAATTATTTACTATACACGATCCGTATAATGTAATCAAATGAGAGTGGCAAGTATTATTACCATTCGATCATAATATTATCTATTGATTTAACTAAGTATCAAACTATCGCTTAGTGTCTAACTAAGGATAATATTAAATCTTTACTATATCTATGATTCGATGAATGAAATGTTTCAAACAGGCGGTTAGTTTGGCGCGTTCGTGTCCGTTTGATTGGCAACACTGCTACAGCCGGCCGGCGCTTTGGGATTGGAGTCGCAAAAGTGCATAACCGCTGAACAATGGGTAACGCCGGTAAATTATCGCGTGACTTTTGGTAACACTCGTGGCAGCCAACCGGATGATTGTAACACGCACAAGTGTTGTACTACCGTGCGCAAAACATGTCCGTCTGTTAGTAAAACACGCTTTTTGCGGTGCGTGTGTGTGTACCATATATTTATATGTTGAAGCAACTCAAATGAGAGCGTCTTCCTGCTGCTGTTAATCGCAATTTCCGATTTCCCATCATCCCGTGGATGCGCCTGACGCAATAAACGCGACAAAGACAGTCGCCGAACCTCAGCCGACACCAACGAGCCGATCGCACGAAACGCGTCGAACTGATCTTCAGGTTAGTAGTACAACAGGGACGCCGAAGACGCGTCTCGACCGAACGGAACAGTCGATACTCTGAACTATTATATTATTGAACGTATGCTGTATTGTTGTGGTGGCGTGAATGATGGGGAACGGGGACTTGTCGCATAACCGACGCGTTTTTGCGCCGATGAGGAGATGATGATGGCGAAAAGGATCGCGACCCGGCGTTTCTGGTTGTCCGTTGACCGGTACCGGTTACGCGTTATTAGCCGGGTGCTTGTCGAACTGGCATGCAACGCAGTCCCTGAAAAACTAAATTATTTACCACAGACAATTTTTGATAGTACTTACGTACTGGTAGTAGTCTATTCCGCAATAGTTACCGTCGTTTTATTCTTAAATTTTTTTTTGGGATCCTCATTGGTTATCGCCCGATTGGAGTACCTCTGAATTATAATATCTATGTAGTATTCTTCCCATCTATTGGCTGTACAAAGATTTATTTCCGAATGAATGACACTTGACCTTTCTCCTTCCTCTTATGCCCTCGCTAGCATCCCAAAAATGTAGAGTAATTTGGGTCGCATACTACCCAGTATCTACCAGTTAATTAGTAGTTTCCGACAAACAATAGTGATTCTGTTGTTTAACTCTATTGTTCTTCTTAAAATATTGTAGATTCCTTTTTTAGCGATTTCTGTCTGCATTTTCTACCTTATATTCAAATATAAATAAAATATATCATGTGCAATAAACGATATTATTTATGTTACCACTTACCGTTGTGGTTTTTTCTTTCTATATACTTTACAAAATACTTCTTCATATTATCTACAGTTCCAAAAGTGTAACAATGTTTTAGGGTACACAAAAAATCACCTACTTTTTATTGCTAGATGACAATTGAAATGGTACTAAATCCGCAAGAGTATTCAGTATATTTATTTTTAAAATCTTCCAAAAAAAAAGTAATTAGGTTACCCAAGTAACACACAATTTGGAAGATTATACTTTACAATTCCAAAACTAGTCCAATACTTCTAAATATCCCAATATAATATATATATAATATTATAGATTCAAATAAAATATTATATTTTGTATTTAAAAAACGTATTAACCTACTGTTTTTTATAAGTTATGTATAACTTATGTCAACAATAACATTGACAATGTCACTAAATAAAACCTTTACATATTTATTATTTATGTATTCTTTACCAAGGTTAGTATAAAAAATGTTTTTTTTATTAGATTTTTTTCTTTTTGTTATTTATTACTACCAGATACAGACATGTGTCATTTTATTTTCAAAATCTTAATTGTAAAAATTATTAGTAATATGAATCATTTTAAGCATGGTTTAAGCTAAACCAAATAAATATGAAACTTTGACCTAATTTATTAAGAAGAGTAAAGCTACATACTTAACTTGTTAGATAGTATAAGGCGATGTATAAGGTAATTTTATAAAATTCCCAAGTTTATCAAAAAATAATAATAGATATTTGCTTTTTAAATCTTAATGTATCCCAAAATTTTGAATGTTAAGATAAATTTAAAAGGCTACAATTGCTAGTTTTTGTATAATAAATCATTCTATGCCGTATAGTATAAAATGAGGTAAGTATTAAGTAGGTAGTATACTCTTTATGTATTGTAATTGTGATATTAGTGAAAACAATACATATTAGGATAAAAAACCATTGACAGTGTATAGAAACTTATTTTTTAATGCTTACCTCTGCAGCTCTAATTTGAATTAATTAAATTTATATCTGATGTGATCTACTGAAGATACATTTGAATATTAAATCCATAAAATACGGAGTAATAATTAAAACATCAACCCAACTAAACAAAAAAAATAGATTAAAACAGATTTTTTTTTTATGAGTACATAAATAAAAATTACTTGAATGCTAAAATCATTCTCATCGTCTATCAGATTTTAGATATTTTGAATTATCAGCTGTTTATGACTTGCCTTTTGTCATTCCTGGGTTATTTTTAACAAATTTGGAATGCACTCTACTGTATAGGTTTTCAGTGTTATCTAGAGTAGGTGGTAGGTCATAGTAGTAATGAGTAGGTATGTTAAATTTAAATTCTAAGTTAATTCTTCATTACAAAAGACGATTGGTTGCCCTAAATTTCTAAGGACATTTTACAATATGTACAGTCATTTGTCTTCTAATTAGTAATTACCAGCAAAATTGGGAAAATATTAATAATATTTTTCATAAGATATAAGATAGGTATTAACTTGATTAATTAATATGTAAAAAAATCAATATAAAAATTGTGTCTATGTATTTTCAATATTTGCCATTAAGTTTTTAAATTTTCGTGATAATCGTTTTGTTAATCATATTTTTTTTAATGTTTCAAAAAAACAATTTAATTGAGTGAAAGTCGACCAAGTTCAGGCAAGTTGAGTTTTTGATTTTCTACGAATAATAGTTATGTTAGCAAGATGAATAGCATGATTTAATCAATCTCGCGGATTTTATTTATGACAATTTACTTCGAACAGATTTGGACTTGCATTTAAAAAAATATTTATGTGTTCTTAGTACGTACATAAATACATTGATATGGTAAAATGTTACTCCTGAAATAATGAATGTTATAACTTTATAAGCTTCAAAGCTATGGAATTGTGTTTCCAGATCGTCAAAAACCATAATTTTTATCAAGACCTACCAATTTTGAATTTTTAATGTCTCGAGTTTTAGAAACAGGTAAAAATTTAGTCATTACTAAAAAAAAAAACAATTTTTGCGAACCTCCACTAATAATTAGATATTTACATATTGGTAGACAGAAAATCTAATCGATACTGATTAAATCATGTAACGCGAGTCCTGCTAACATAACTTATACTCTAAGAATATCAAAAATTTAATTTGATTTAACTTGGTTGATTTTCACTCAATTTTAATTATTTTTGTTGAACTGTCATAAAAAATATGTTCAAAAGGATAGGCTACCTTAAAAATGTTAATTTTAATTGAATCATGTCATTCAATAAGAATCTCCATATTTATTGTTATTAGAAACTACATTTAAATATATTGATCTGCCAAGGATATATTAAGGGTAATACGGAACTTTTAGGATATACTGTGTATAGTAATTAATAATTAAAATATAAGTGATATTTTTCTAAATCCTTCGATACAATTTTTTTTAATTATACGTTTTGAAAGTTGTTATTTTATGTGTGAATATTAATATACTGAATACACCTCCTCATATTATTTACTTCGTATTAAAATAATATAAAATTTCCTTAAAAATGTAGTACGATACCGCCTTTACTTGGAATCGTTTTTTGTTTTTACATTTCGTTATAATTGGTCTTCAAAAACTTAAAAAAAATTATTGTGGTTTGTGTCTGTATATTAAATCTCACATGGTGGTTTACTTTGAAGTTTCAAGTTGGCTAATATAGCTAAATATTTGGGAATATTTTAAGTATTGAACCGTATTTCTACGGTTATTTGTTTTTGAATTGTAACAAAATAGATTTTGTGTACAATTTGTGTAATTAATCATGTACAAACGTAAATAATTTTCAATTATTTAATTTTTCGTAATTTTTAATCTAGAACCGTGAACTCGCTAATTTTGACAAGTAATAACGAGGTATTTCTTATCATAAACCACCTTTTAAGTTGAAGATTAAAAGAACTAAAAAAAACATAATTGTAAAACTCCAATACATTCACTGCTTTGCTCAGAACCTAAAAAAAATGTTGGCATGCTAGGTTAGTAATGACTAATGAAGTAGTTATAATTTGTTTTATTTAAAATACACAGTTATATAAGATGTTTCTTAACAATAGTGAAATGGTAGGTACCTACTATTTGTATTTATTCTATTAACAATACATTTATTAAATTGCAGTTTTAATTTTTGTAAAAGATATTGTATTTCAGCCTTGGTTTCTTTTAACAGATATTTGTGATTTTGAGAATCATAATAATAAAATACGAGAAAAAATAAGGGAGCGTGTATAAAGGTCTGACCTGACCAGGTGTTTTTAACAGGTGTTTCTGAAGAAATACTACCTGTATTCCATATAATATTATGCCTCAATGTGATTTATTTTCATTTATGCTTTTGGTGATCATATCAAGTTAATAAATTATATAAGGGTTATGGCCTATGGGGTTCCATGGTGTGGTGTGGTCCTAACCTTAGATTTTACGTTGTGCTAAGGATGTAATATTATTTACAGTTATTTCTAACTGTATAAATCGTGCCGAATTTTGATCCTCCTGACTGTTCATTCTAAAATTATTTTGTGAAATTCATAAAATTCGGATAAAACATTTAGCGTTGGGCACTCAGCTTTAAAGCTAAACCTGACTTTACGAGTATCTGTGGCTATGTGTGATAAAATCGAATACATTAATTTCAAATCCACAATTATGAAAGACATCATCAAACCCAATTTTTGTGCACAACATAATACGAAATTACAGTGTCTAGGACAGTAATTTTTTTATGGTGTACAAAAATATATATTTTTTAAATAACAAATTTGTAAATCAAAAAACTGTAAATTAATAATTTTTTAGATGTCATTTGAGGGAGATTGTTTGATATGAGTCTTTGGTTTGTCTTTTTTTAATTGCCTGAAGTAAAAAAATACAGTATTATTATTAAATAGTGTGATTTACGTATTCAAATCTGTTTTATATATTTGACATTAAAAATATGTTTTGATATTGCATAGTTACTAAAACATGTTTAATGATTATTTATGAATTAAACCATACAGCTTTAGTTATTTATGTTTAATTCTTGAATTTTTGTTAGGTACTTCTATCTAAAAAAAAAAAGCGGAAACGAGTGGTTGACAATTTACACCAACCTTAACTAAGCGTTTAAAATTTCAACTCTGCAGTAAGTAGATGTGAATTTTATTGCTTGATGTATAATAAATGTTTGATTGTTTAATATTAATTTTATTTGATTAAGACACTGAAATGCAAACACAATTGTAGTTGATATTTTGCATGGTCGTATTTTGCTGCATAAATCGTATTATTTATAAGCCTCAGTTCTTTGTTTTGAATTAAAAATAGAATTGTAATTTTCCAACTATATCTAATGAAGATGTGTCATTGTTATTATCTATATGGACAATTATCCACGAGTTGCACTATGCCCGTTATTTTTATGAGCATATATTCGAACCGGCTTGTATTGAAAAACTATTTGCATTATGTTTATTTTGTTGTTTTACTTGGTGTGTCGATACACTTCGAATTAGTTTTTATTTCTTTTAGATACTTAAAATATCAACCTAGATATACAAATAAATACTCATCTTAACCTATTCTAATTTTTAAATTAGTTATTAGTTTCTTCTTAATTTATCCTGGGGCTAAGATTGTATATTTCAAATAAAAAAAATAGTTATTAGTACAGGTCTATCACAGCTCGAACCTATTTATTAATTATTATTAAATTCATACATATTCAAATTAGATGATACGGAATTTTAAATTAATTTAAATTTTATACTTTTATTGAGTTAGTATTGAAGTGCAAAGTGCAATAAAAAATGTATTGGACTATACTTGAGATTTCTGAAGGTCAAGGAAACACAATTATTTTAACATTTCATTAAGGTTTGAGATTACAATTTCCTAAATTTGAAGGAGAAAATAATTTTATTTAAAATATTAATTAGGTATATAAGATATCACCTTAATATAAATTTTAACTAAGAAAGTTACAAATTCACAAAAAATGTTAATTTTATAACATCATCATTGACTTAGTAATTTAAACTATTATTATAGAAGTTTTTGATCATTTACAGTACTGCCTTTTTCGATTCGATGTTAAATACTATCTAATTTGGCCTTTCTTGGTCGTAATTTGTATACTAACATACACGTTATTCCATACAACAAACTGTATGCACTTGTAAAAGTATTACCTATGTATTATTGCAAAAATTTTATATTTAGTTACGAGGTACACATAGAAGATTAAAACAAAATTAAAGGTTATACATTTGAAACTATTAGGCAGTTTACATAATACAGACTACAGAGACAATGTGGTTAATAATCTTTTCCTGATAATTTACATAACTCTCTTGGTGTTACTAATTGTATAGCTTACATTTTAGTTTTCATTTATATTTGGCAGTCATAAAAATAATTTTTTTTTTCGGAAGCAAAGGCCATTTGTGACAACATGTACTTGTTATTTTTTATTTCTTTATTGAATATATAAATATTATAAAATATTTAAGATTGGTTATTGTATTCGTATAACTTAACTGAGAAACTCGAAAATTATTTCATCGTAATTTTCCCATTTAACGTTCAGTTTCATAATATAACTATATATTTTCACATTTTTGAATTTTACTTAAAATCTGTCCAACTCTAATACAATGCTGAAGTAAAAGCATCGAGCAGATGTTTTTAACAATATACAAGCAGCTGTAAAATAGAAGATCGTCCTTATTTCTTTTGTACATTGTTATGTTATAGGATGTCCTTTAAACTGAAAATGGTTCTTTAATATTATATAATAGCTATATCGAATACCTATGCTGTTAAGGGATCTTTGAAATACCTTGAACTAAATTAAATATTTAAAATATTGTATTAATTTGTCTCTAAACGTAATTATTCTATCTATTCGCATAAGTCTAGTTGACATTACATAACACGTATTAATAATTTAGAATGCTGTTGTTTCGACATTATTTTTTAAAAATGAAACGCACATCGTCGTCCAAGACGTTATTTTGGCTATTATATAAGAACAACTAAGAGTGTCACAACGAAATTTATTATCTACAACATTAATAATCACAATATTATATTTGTATGGATTATGGAGGTTCAACTTGAAATCCGCATATTATTAAGAAAACGCGTCGCGAGAAAACTTCAAATTTCGCGTCATAATTTGCATTCGTTTAAAACGCAACTCGGATCATAACTCGTTTTTTTCGACCTAACAGTCGCGGTGGTGGGAGAGTCTGCTGGTATAACCGATATCCGCATAATATTCTGGGCGACCGTCATCGAACGACGGTAGCAAAAATGTGAGAAAGAAAGGACAAACGTACGTGAAAAAAAAGCCGGGCGGCACGCGCAAACCAACGCGGCCGGCGTGCTCTATCCGCCGCCACGTGGTTGTGTGCCGCGACACATTCAATTCAGCCGTGGACGTCGGGCAACACTGCGCCGTCGGCCGGCCGGCTCGTCCCCACCGTGCCCGCCCCGATGCCGGTACGGCGACGTCTTTCCCCTCGACCCCGCGTGCCGCCCACCATGATCGCACCTTCCCCCGGCGACGGCTTTCTCCCCTCCGACCCGCCGCCGATCGTTTTCATCTCCCTTCGGCCCCCGTCGCTCCGTGATCGCACGCACACGCAGCGAATCGTTCCTTCGCACACTGCCTGCCACCACGTTGCTCGGAATCCGTCCGTCGCCGCAATATTGCGCCGTGGTTTTCGTAATTTCGTGTGTAGTAGTAGTACGGACCAGGGACAACTGCCGAGTGCATTACTCTTGCTGCAGTCTGCTCTTGTGTACGTGAATACGTGCAGTAAGAAGTTTTCGGTGTTTTCTCCGCTTACGATCGAATTTCTCCTCGACAGTCACTCGCTAGTGGTTTTTTTTCTAATTTTATATTATTTTATTTGTTCCGTCCGTGGTTTGTCGCGACACGCACTATACGCATTTCATGCGTTTTATGCCTGTAGTAGTGGTGTTTCCCACCCAAAAATAATACAATTAATTTAAAGTATTTATATCGTCATATATTTTTAATTTGTATTTGACGCGGTTTCAATATTATTATGGCACGAGGCGACAGCGTGGACAAGGTTGGTTACCCGTTTTTATAAATAGAAACGAAATAATTGTATCTGTCTTTTTTTTTAGTAGTAGTATAGTATTAGTATTATAAATAATATTGTTAGTTGTAGTAGTAAATAATAACAATATGTAGTATACTATGACAGTATTTACTATAGTATAGTTCGAGAGAGTGGCGTTCGTAGCGCGCTCGTGGTTTTCGGCGTGCGACGGCGCGAGTGTTGTGTCGTCCACACAACGTGGTTTCTATTGTTGCCGCCACACGTCCATGCGTTCGTGACGGCGGCCCATGGAGCTACATTTTTTTGAGTCGACCGCGACGTCTTGCTATCGCCGTGTACCCACACTGCTCTGAAACCATAATCATCGGTCTCGCAGCTGGTGCCACGAGAGACGATGATCCCGTTCACACGTGTGTGTGGGTGGTTGTTTCGGCGTTTTTCACCGACGGCGATTGTTGGCCGTGGCAGTGTCCGTAGACGCCCGCGGATCGCGTGTGCGTCGCGCGAGGTCGCCTGTTTCGGTAACGTGTCGGTACATACGTACATAACCTAACAATACCGTGTGTGTCGGCCACGGTTGTACGCACGTCTCCCAAAGTCTTGTTGCCGGTACGCGGTTACACGTCACCTACTATTATAATATGTACCGTCTGCGAACTCCACGTTAAGCTCGTATCGCAAATGTCTTGCTGACGTCAAAAGCTTACAAGCTGCTGTATAGGAAATTCGCGCATACGAAATGTGCGAGTTTAATTTTTGTCGTATTGCTTGCGTACGTGGATTGTCGTCGTCGCGATAAGACCACAGACGTTACTATTATTATTATTACTACAACCGACCGGTTAGCGTGTGGAAAAAACCTGACCCGACGATCGTGCGGTGTGTGCGATTTACAGTTTTTACCTGTTGCCTGGACGTGATTAAGTGCAGTTCACCTGGGGGTTTTTTTATGGAAATCGTTATTTATATATTATTATATTCTAAAATATGATTTTACGCTCGTAGAGTCAATGGCTCGGTCGGTCATGTGGCTTTTTGTTGAGTTGTATTAGGTACTTTAATTAATTCGGTTTTTTTTTTACATTTATATCCAGTTCTGAACAACTCTTTTTAATAATTATTTATTTATGCACTTAATTAAATACCGAGCGATTATTGTTGTACCCAAGTAGTATCTCGCGCGATCGAGTCTTATATAATCGCAGCGAGAAATGTTCACATTAACCGTCGCCGCCAGACCATATTTCAAAACCCAATCGTCTATTATTGCTCTAATTACCTTTCTATTTTATTATATTATTTACTATAGTATATATGTGGAGGCGCTTTGGGAAAGTATAGTGCATACTTCGGTTAATTTTAAGGAATGTTAATTACTGTCCATGTATCAAAGTATTTAAATATTGCAAAGTTACTACAATACGTTTTATGAATATTTACCTGTGATTTGAGCGATTTGCACTGTCCCATTTTTCCTTTCGTAAATATATACTTTACTAGACTATACTAAAGTATTATGTGCTGACAAATTTATTTTGTTAAGAAAAAATCGTTATATGTTATTGAAATTATAATTTTTTTTAATCCGTAATGAAATCAATGACCTGTACGTTTTAGTATCAAACCTTGAATGTCAATTAAATTTAACTCTTATAACGATAATGACTGTCAATTTACAAAAAAAAATGAAAGGAAAAAAACTTAAAAATTGTCAAGTAAAATAAAAGAAAGATGTAATATAACGTTCCTTTTTTTATTTGATGTTTATTAGTTATCGATTTTAACTTAACATAATAGTTTGTATAATACTTTTATGGACCTATTCGACTATGGTACAATATTGTTATCGGTGCACTTCGTATGATTGAAACAATTATTTATCCATGAAAAACGTTCTTTTCATTTCCTAGTGCCCATTTTTTACCCTTGTTGTGCTTCTTCAATTAATCTGGGAAAATAGTGAATTTTGCATAGCTACAAATAACAGTTGTGACTTTTTAAAGTATTACAACATCGGACGATCTTCCTAAAAATCACGCCATTATATTATACGATTTTAGTTGCGTAGGTAGGATAAGGAACTTGTTATTTTTATTATCTCAATTTCGATGGTCGTTTAAATTGCTAGTTTGTATTATCGGCAATCAAATAATATTCATTTAATAATAATAAGGTTATTAATTATTATAATTCACGTTGAATGTAAAATTCTCAATGTCCATCATTGTTAAAATAAGAGTTATCATTGAATTTCTTAAATGTTTATTGTACCTTTATTATTACATAGGGTATGCATTAATTGCTATTTGTTTTTATTAAGATAAAAAATACAAATTTAACTAATATTTTGTTTCTATTTAATTCCATTGGCCTTCTTTGTAATTAATTCTTCTGGAATTTGTTGTAAACATTTTTTTTTTTTTGCTTTCTCGAGTGTTTTTGAGAATTTCCTTAAATTATTACTTCTATTTTTCATTTATCTGTTATTATCATAATAGTACTTAATATAGATTTTCAGTTATTGGTTTATTAAGGCTAAGATCTTAGCAAAAATATTCTGACTTTACAATGCCACGCAAGTCGGAAGTGTAATATTATTTTTGTATCGACTGATTTTTCGTTCATGACCCATTCTTGTATTAAAACATATTTTAGATAAGTTTATTGACTGAACATGGCAACTAGCCAAACCTGTTTTTCATACAATTCAATACGTCATAGGTTCATGGAAAAACAGGTATGTGGTCTGATTTCTTCTCAGACACAGCCACCGGCAATCTACCGAGTAGAATACTCTGTACGCTCACCGTCAACGCCTAAACTATACACTTTATGACACGTGTAGTGCAAAATTAACGATTAAAAGAAATGGTATTGATACATTTTTGTTCGGCAGTTTAGAACGAGCAATATATATTTATAATATTATAAATATAATATATATACAGAAACATCGATTATTTGATAAAGAAATTTCAAAAAATGTTCATATGTAAATATTTAGCAAACAACCTAATTGGTGATACCACATGTGACTTTCAACATCATACTCACTAATTGTCTTTCTCTTTTCCCACTAGAATATATTTTAGAACAATTTTCTTCTCTATCTCAACTTTTCCTGTATTCATTGTTTAAAATTTAACTAATGTCATCACTCATCTATCATAATAAAAGCCATGCTTAACTTGGTGCTTTAGATTGGTTTTAAAATTTAACTGTATGAGAACACAATAACTTGTGATCTGTTCATTTTTGTTATTAATATTCTAAACAATATTATTATATTGTTATATTGTTGTCTATCTATTGTCATTTGTAATCTTCATTATTTTTTGGGTTTTTTTCTCTAACGTTTCTTCTTCAAATAATTGTTGAAGTACAGTAAATGTCTGTTAAAATCTCATTGAATATAAAACTTTTAACGGTTGTTTATTAATTAGTTATTTTTACTATTTTCATTATTATATTCGGGAATAACATGGGTTGTTCTAGAATTGCACACAGATTACTTTTGTAATTTATTAAACTCTAAAATATGAAAAACTACCACTCCGATTGAGTTTCAATTGGGATATGAACTTTTTAAATTTTAATTTCCATATACCTAGTAAGACTATTATACATGTTATGTATATCGTTTCAATCAGAATGCAAATTCGGCTTTACATTATTTTTTAAAACAATTTAAGTACCTAGGTAGTAGGTATATACTTCGCGACGATATTACCACAGATTAAATAATTTTAATTAATCTGTGCTATTACTTTTAAAAAGATAAGTAATAATTTGGGAATCCTAGTATCCTTAGTAGTTTTTAAACTGGTGTTAATTTCAATAACTAATTCAATATAATGTCGCTCAAATACATTTAAAAGAATTTGTTTTGGTGAGCGCTTTTGTAATTTTTTTAAAGAAAAATAAGAATGGTTCTGTAAAAGTGCGACACGCAAATTTTCTATGTTGTCGGTTGATCAGAGGGAAAATTAGAAGTGTGACCTCCTTTTCAGACTTAATAAGTGGATTGGAAGCTGCTATTTTATATACTATAGAACACACGTGCAACATTAGTATTAAGACCGATTTATCTTGTGAAGCAATAAAAATAACTGATTTGATTTTGTCGTTATCTTCTTAAGATCATCTTCACACAATTTTGAAGAAGTTACGTAAAAAATGTGGTAGAGTCAATGTTAAGTAGACTCATCGGAAAATGTAAAAAGTTTTCAAAGTTCTTATCGCTTCACTTGATCGATCAACTGGTACTTTGGATATATAAGCCCTCTAAACTCTTAAGTTGCTCATATGTTAAAGGACAAAGACTAATCATCGCTTAACGTTTAAAAATGTAATTTTTCGAAAATTTACCAAATTTAGCTTTTACCGCCTGGTTGTTATAACATGTAAGTATTTCAACTGTTGGTGGTTTTTAAATAATTTATTATCTGAAATTATATTGTTCATGGTTAAAATTTCACCTATATTTATATTTTTCGCCTTACTTACTTTGGCATTTAAAATCGCATACGCGTCTCTTTAACCATCTGTGTCAGCAGTCGCGTTGACTAGTTCGTTGTTTGCTGCATGTTTCCCACGTACAAATACAAATAAAGATGTAAATTTGTAACATTCTGCATGGTGTAAATCTAATGACATCTGTTGCTTAACACATGACAACTAACTATTGGAAGTTAGAATTTTTTACACGATGTGTTTAACGTTGATTTTCTCTGTAATAAGTAGTATGAATAATTTCAACAAACAAAAAAATCTTGTACCTACGTTTTTTTTTATTTATTGCAATATTAATATTTTAAAATTGGGGATTCTTTTTGATGTATTTAACTTAATAATAGTTATTTATTAACTATTATCCCTATCCATCTTAAATTTTAGTTTACTTTATTTTAGTTACTTAATTAATAAGTAGCTATTGCTATTAACTAGTAACATACATTTTTAATTTATAAAAAAAATATTATACGAACTATCTACAAAAATATTAATTTAATTGCATCTTAATAAGTGCCTTATATGAAGTGTGAATTTAATATGTTGAGTGATATATTTTCATAGAATCAATATAAAATAACTTGCATATTTCAATGTTGAATCATTTATGTTCATAAACTTATAATCTGTGGACACTTTTTAAATTTATACTTCTTATTTTATAGGTTTTACACTCGTATCAAAGTGGATATCATACGATATGTTCAAGGTGAGGACTGTATCGCTGGGGAGAATTTTAACGTTTTCGACAGCCGTCTTATACCTCGGTTATCTTTGGTACAAGCGCAAGAGAACTTTGTCACATCACCAGAGTGACAAGAAGAGACCCTGTTCTGAACCTTCAGAACTGACTAAAATTGACGATCAAGAATTGTTTCGGGCATTAGAAGAAGCCTCTTGTATATTAGAGGTATCACAAGGTGTAGAAGAAAAACTGATTGAGAGTTCTGTTATTCATAAAGAGACCATGGAGCCAACTGTCAGTCAAATAGAAGTGAATGAAAAAGAATTGTCTATAGGTAACCAAGAAGTACATGAAATGGTTACAAAAGTTATCACAAGTGAACAACAGGTGTGTTTAGAATCTGATATCATCACGATAGATTCTTTAACTGAAGATTTGACTAATTTGAAATTAAGTACAGAAATAGAAAAAGGAAATGATATAGTTATAAATACTGATGATTCAACAAATATTCATCAAGTAATAGAAAAGAAGAAAGAAGAACTAGAAGAATATTCTAAAGATAAGGCTTGTTGGACAGCAATGATAGAAAAAGAAGATCACTGTGAATGTCCAAAAGCAGTTCTTGTTAAAAAAGTTAAAAAAGATGAAGAACCTATGATATTTGAAGGAATTAAATTTAAAGGAAAAAAGAAAAAAGGCAGAAAAAAGAATCAAACAAAAGATATTATCAAGCTTCCTTCTGAATCAAATAGCAAAAATAAAACTAATAATGTTGTTAAATCTGTAAAGAAAAACCAAATTGTAGAAGAAGATTGTGATTCAGCGCACAGTGTAGATCATAGTATTGACACTAACGATGCACCAAATACAATTTATTCAGATATTAGGAGTGTTGTGAGTTTCAATTTTAATCTGTACATTGTCATTCTTAATAATTATGTGTTGTAAAAACAGGGTTCTCAAGACAGTGGCAAAGGCGGTAGTTCTTTTTCTGGAGAACTACGTACAGTATCTGATTCTGATGAGCAAACCAGTTATGACTTTTTAGTTCCGATTGAACTAGTGGGACCAATTATTGGTAAAAAAGGAGCATTTGTTAAATATATCAAAGAAAAAAGCAATGTTAGGCTTTTTGTTGAAAACAAGACTGAAAGTCCAGAAGATAAATATAAAATGTGTACATTAGTTGGTGAGTGCTAATTGTTATACTTAAATATTATTTGTAATCTATTTGTATATTTGGCTTATTAAAATATTTCTTAATTGTTCATAGGATCTGAAATAAATATTAACAAAGCACTCAAGTTAATTAGAACCAAGTTTCCTGAAAGAGCTTACCCAGAATTTACTTTAGAATGCATTTCTTCAATGTTGGATGGTTCACCTGTTATTTCTCAACTTTTTAAGGTAAATTTAATAATAACCTAACAATTTTTTTTGCACTCTTAATAACGACTTTTTTTCATGTTTAGTCGGAATTAATTGAAGGCGTTAATAACCATGTTATTGTTACTGACCTAGTAGCTACAGATCATTTCTTTGTACATAATGCATCAAGTCCAGATTATGCAATGCTTTCTTCTTTGAATTTTGCCATGAACGATACATTTGGAAACAGCAAAGAAGATATTCCAGAAGTTGATTTACGCACTGTTACCCATGGTATTTATTAGCTTCTTATTAAATTTTGTACATCTATAACGTCTATTTATTTTATTGTAGGTTCTGTAGTAGCCACCTTCAGCGAAGATAATTGGTACCGTGCCCAAGTAATCGATGTAGATGAAAAGAAATATGAATCTGCTAATGTATTCTTTTTGGATTATGGCGGTTGCAAAAAAATTGAACAATGTGATATGAGGCCAATGCATGACTCATTAATATCATTAAGCTTCCAAGCAATTGAATGTAGTTTAGCTAATATTGCTCCAAGTAAATTTATTCATATTCTTTGACATGTTTTCATATTAACTATTTATTTATTTGTTAAATAGTTTATGGCGAGTGGTGTGAAGAATCCTTAAAAATGTTTGAAACCCTGACTACTGGCAAAATGTTGTTTGCGCAAGTCGTTTACAAGTCTGATAGTATACAATATGTTAATTTATTAGCTTTTGATGGCTTAGTGGTAAATATTTTTGTTTTGTATTTTAATAGTTTCTTATATTTATACTTATGATTTTATTTTTCCTATCTAGACCATTTCTATCAACGATGAACTGATAAAGTATGGATTTGCTGTCTACGCTCCCCCGAGTGGTATTTACCGAAATGACACAACACCCGAACTTAACGAACCAACACACGCACCTGCATAGGTTACTTTCTCATTTGTTTTTAAAATTGCTTTTGTATTTTCCTGACTGTTATTGCGTTTATTTTATTACTATTTTTTTCCATTCATGACTTAATGTTTTTTATTCAAATTTAAATCTTTCATTAAAAACCTGCTTTCAGGTATAATTTTTTTTTTTAAGTAAAGCACTCATTTTTCTACACAAATTGGTATTTTTTTTTATGAAAAGATAAAAACTAAAACATTTGATTTATTATTTACATATTATGAAACAAATTCGCTTTGTATTATAGTAATAATTAGTAAACAATTAATTCTTTCTTTAGTACAAATACCAAACTTTTAAAACAAATATTTTAAATCATTTAATATGGTTGAAATTATAATACATTTTTATTAAAATACCATTTGTTATAATTTTAAGTACTTCAGTTTATTTGTGTATCATATTTAAAAAAAATCATGTAATTGTGTCACGGAAATGGTTGGACAATTTTTTTTTTTTGACAAACAGATGTTTATATTGTTTGCATTTGAGTATAAAATATTTTTAGATTTAAACCAAATAAATGATGTTAAATTATATTTTTTTTTTTTTTTTATCTTCGTCGACTGTATTACAATAGAAATAAGATTTTTTTTTGAAAATGGTTTTTCTTTTTTCATTGAATACATATGTTATATATTTTAGATACAATTATGAAATTATTTTAATTAATGTTATCTTTTCACAGGCTAAAATAAAAATCATAAATTATATTAGAAGTATTATCAGATAATTAGAATATAGGAAACTTAAGTAATGTTTCAATTTAAGAGTGAGAATTTATGACGATGATAAAATTTTAAATTTTAACTAGATGTACCTCCTTTTAAGTTCATATCTTCTATGAACGAAATATCAAATAATATTATTTATAGTAAAATAAATTCATTATTGAATAATTACGTATAATTTAAGACTATTGTAAGGGAAGCAATTTTTGTTATCGAGTGTTTTCTTTTATAAAAACTAACGATTCGGTTATATATTTTGTTTTGTTTTTATAATTCACCTTAATATTTAACCTCTTTTGATTTCAAATGAATGGACAGCCATTGTTAATGTGATGGTTAATGGCTGAACATTATTCCAAATATATTAATTTACTATCAGGGCTAGAATTGATATACATTACAAATTACGAACAATCTATTTGTGTATTTTGACTTGAAGACATGAAATGCATGTCTTGGTTATTATGTAAATGATAAATGCTGCTTCATATTTTGCTGATGATTTCAATTCCATAAAATCAGTGTTTAATTATAAACAAGAAATTTGAATGTATTAAAAATGGTATGGATTTATTTAACTAGAAATTTTAGTATTCTGTCTTCTCACTCAAACTATATCAAAATTAAGAAATGTTTGACCAGTGACCATACGTCATGAAAGTTTTACAAAATTAAGTGCTTGTATTTTACATAGCATAATATAAATCCAATCCCCGAACTAAACCTTAACATCAATTGTTATAATTTCTCTTCCAATTACCACCTCATTGTTTGTGAAACAAATGTGTAAAGCTTGTAACCTGTTGCCTGCTGTAGCCATTTATTATTTTTTGTGAATTGTTTTCTTTTCAATCTAAGTCAAATGATAATTTGTGTATACAAAATATATTTGGTACTTTATAAACAATTTTGTGCAGGGTGTGGAATATTCATTTAAGATTTAAATGCATTGCTCTTGCATTCATTGACTTGCATTTACTAAAGCTTGTATTGTCACAGGAGCATCCTTGGGTGGTACATAAAATTTCAATGATTCGAATAATAGTCTTCGAGTGCATATAAAGATTCCAAAAATCTGAATTTCAATGTATGCAAAATTTAAGAGTTACAATAGCACGAGCGTGCTTAAAAAATCACCCTGTATGTGTAGGTTGATATCCAAGGGAGAAATGAGCCACGACCCCACGAATACGTCCCAATTCGGAATACTAATGTTAAGCAATTTAGATATTTTATTATTATAGAATATTTATATGTTGAAGTAAATGATGATAACATCAAAATAAGTGATAACGTTATTTTCTAGTAAATAACAATAATTACCTAACAACATAGTGATTATCGTGGTTTATTAATTTTTTGGTTTGATTATCGATAATTTCTACACGATGGAAAATGTTGTTATAATATAATGTTATCTTAATGGTATTAGATTTAGATACAAGATAGTATATTACAGCCGCAGTAGATTAAACTTCGGACTAAGATATAGGTACTCAGGTACTCAATTATATAAATAAGTGGGGCTTACTAGTGTAGGACTTAATTGTAAACCTAATAACTATTATAGATAATGTTTTGTCAATCTTTCACGGTACGCATCGTATCGTCATATTATTTTTGTATGTTAAAACATTGCTTTAATTCTCTTTGAAAAAAAAAAAAAGCTAGCAACATGGCAACAATTTTACTTGACCTTAAAACCCTGCTTGAATTATCTAAAGAAAAAGAGATATAAAAATATAAAGTATATATAGTAGTCTATTAATTTTATATCATGTTGTAATGTTAAATTGTTAATTGTGAATTTTATTAATGTCTATTTTCTAGGTTTTCACAAATTGATGGATTCCACCCGATTCTCACTCGTTTCCTATACTAGAACTTAGTAAAATAAAACCTTTCAAATTTAAAAAGAGTAAAATCTAATTTGTTAAATGCTATGAAAGAGGTAAACAGTTTTTTCTCTTACATATTTCTAAACCGTATATACG